TCATTGCCGACCCCTAATATAATTTTTTTAGAAATTTATTATTAACATAGTATGAAATATGTTTACAAGTTAATCAATACAAGCATTATGTTTCAGATATATACGAAGGCGGTCTATCGTTTCGACTAATATTAGATGAATCACTCGTTCAAGTAAGTACTTTTCTCTCTTCCGCCAGAGGGCGCCCGCGGTTCCTGCGTTATTAGTAGGCAAATGCGGCACAAGTAATCGTCAACCAGCTGAGCCCTATGTATATGAGCGTTGTTCTCCATTAACAGGAACCCCGGATCAAGTGCGCCCCTGAAAAGTCGGAACATAAGTCTCTAAGATCTCATCTCTATATCTAACAGCAGTCAGGGAGCCTTTATCAAAAGCATGCAGGGGTATGCGCCCGTCCAATAATGCCTCCCTAAACCACTACACCTCCATCATTGTAATGATCCTTTCCCTGATGAAAGAGGGATAGTATAATGTTCCACGCTCTTTCCAGATACAGGCACGCCGAGAATCGGTGTCCAGGCTGAATCGCGACCTATTTGTAAAAGGCACAGTACTCCATTGAAGTCTGGTCCAAGGTATACGTAGTCTAAATCATGCTAAACGTCTTTCTAGTGTGCTGCAGAGAGCAGGTCTTCTGGAATGCATCCCTATTTCATGAAGGCATCGGCCAACCGTGAAACTCAAGTTACAATGGCAGCATAAAACACACATGCGAGCTGTAAAGCTGTAACAGTCCTGTATGGCCCCACTGAAGGTGCCAAATAATAATCTTCATTCGTCTCTTAGTCGATATGAATTCAATGTTCTGAAACTGTTTCCGCAAATTGAAGACGACACTTGGCATTACATTGAGCTCTGTACCCACCTGCGTTTGTGATTAGCCTGCCTCCAATCTACTGACAGTTCTCCATCTCATTCCATCATATATACATTTGTGGCTACTTATTTTACCTTATAAAATTTACCCAACTTTTGTGAAAAGGGCGAATGTCATGGAGTACCGGCATGCAGATCGCCGGAACCTCCTCGTGCGCTGATATCCCTTCTAGAGTCACAACTTCACAGACACGCATATGTACACTTAAGTATTTAATTCTGAATGTTTGCAGAATTCTTCGCTAGCCCAACCTTTGGTTCAATACTTTTCATAAAAATTGACATAATTTGTAAATTCTCTTAATTTTACCGGCAAGTGTATATATGAATAAATACAAAGCAGTTGAAAAAACTTATTCAGTTGCACGCTGATAGCAGCATTAAGTAATAATGCAAAATAAAAAAATTTTTAAATACGTTTCAAATTCATCATAGAATCCATTCGGAATAAAACGCATGCAAAATCCAAAAAGCCAGAAGCACAGTGGCAAACTGCAATATATATAAAGAAAGCAAACACACGCTTTGTAATGAAGCAGACACACACTATACTGAAGCAAACTTAGCTCTAATTGATAGTGTAGAAATATTGATGCTGTAGAACGTTGATACATAACGAGGGTAAACTTGGCAGCCGAAGCAGATCAAATACTCATCTTTATTTTAAAAAGCATACTGTGGCCACAAACAACTTGTCACACTACTGGTACCTATTTGAACATACTTATATTTTTTATAGTCAAAAAACATCAGAACTAGAAATTTAAGTACAGCGGACTAAAATTCTTCAAAATATGATCTTTCAGCATCAACACAGCGCTGCCAGTGCGTCTTCCACTGCTCGTAGCCCTTCTGGAAGGCCTCGGGCGTCATGCTGTCAAGGGCTCTCGTCGAAGCCTGCTGGATGCCGTCGATAGAGTGGAATTGCTTCCCTTTTAGGCCTGTTTTAATTCGGGGGAAGAAGAAAATGTCACTTGGAGCCAAGTCGGGGCTGTAGGGTGGCTGCGGCAGTGTTGTCACGTTCAACTTGACCAAAACTTCGGCAGCTGCGCACGACGTGTGAGCAGGCGCGTTGTCGTGGTGGAGAATCCAATCGCCCTTGATCACCAGACGGACGTGACGGACTCGATCGGCGGAGCACTCCAGTGTAAAAGTCATCTGTGACAGTCTGTCCATGAGCAACAAACGCCTTGTGAATCCCTCCTTTACAATAAAAAAAAAAAAAAACGCGACTTGCTCATGCGAGCTTTCTTGGGCTTCGGCGAGGAAGCAGTTTGCCATTCTGAGCTTTGACACTTCGACTCAGGATTGTACTCGTAGACCCAGGTCTTATCACCAGTAACCACTTTCTCCCGAAGGCTCGGGTCAACATTCAACCGCTGGAGCATTTCCTGGCAAACAGTCATGTACCGTTTCTTCTGATCCACCGACAAAACTTTTGGCAGCAGTTTGCCACACACTTTTCGTATCATCAAATTCTCTGTCACAATCCTCCACATCGTACTCTGACAGAGTCCCAGTTCATAGGCAATTAATCTAGTACTAAGACGACGGTCACTGTTTAAAAGTTCCCGCACTCTCTCCACATTTTGATCCGTTCGGCTTCATGATGGCCTCCCAGAGCGGTCGTCGTCTTCAACATTCCCGCGATCATCTTTAAAACGTTTGTGCCATATGAAAACCATTGCACGGGACATGGCTTCTTCCTTAAAGGCCTCTTGAATCATACCGAGAGTCTCCGTGGCGGTTTTGTTTAGTCGCACGCAAAACTTAATTGCATAACGTTGCTCCAAGTGCTGCTCCATTTTCGCCTCTCCCACTTTTCGATCGAGGTCAATAACACGCACTCACGCTGCAAGCGATGCGCACTTTCCAGGGTTCCGGAGGCAGCTGCCGCAGCGTCAGTTCGTTCCCTGAGACCCAGTCTTGAAACTTCTGATTCACATCGTGTATTAGTGTGCTTCACTTTTTTATGCAGGTAAAATATTTCAAACTTTTTTCCCCTTAAATTTTCTGTACCTTAGTTACATTACCGATCTTAAAAATTAATTTTAGCACTGATATGCATACTGGAAAGAACTTTGTTCACAGCATATATAAACTGTGAATAAATTCAAGTAATTGTACAATTTCTCTTTTGCGAAAAGTGAATTTTTATTGCATCATTCTGATATCATCAAACTCAGAAAACTTCAACTCAGAGACTCTCATCAAACTCAGAGACAATTTCTGGCCGTTTAATTGGTAGGCAATTAATATTTATTTTGCATTTTGAGTATTTTACCACAAAGATCTGAATTCTTTAACCTCTTATGCTTATTTAATAATATTAACTTATTTAATAAGTTAATTTTCTGCTTATTTTATTAATTTTCTTAAAAGCAGAATTTCAAGAATTAAGTGTTACAAGAATGTAATTAAAAAAATTCTCTAATTTTTAAAACTAACATAAAGAAAAAAATCATCGTTGAAAAATAAGATTCTGAAAGAAAAGAAATGCTTCATCTTTACAAAGCTCTTATCCCATTTATTAAATGCAACCTGATTACATCATAATGTAATAGATGAAATTTGACATGCAAATTTTCCAAGAGAAACTATGCAAATGATTAAAAAACCATGCCAGTAGCTGAATAGTATGGAAAATGTACATCAGAAAAGATATATCAAGGACAAAGTTTAAAGTAAAAATTTGACAGTTGAAGTATCGAATTTTAAAGGATTCTAAAATATTCCAAGAAATTTGTGAAAACAAACACAAAATATCACTGAAGGGAAGGTGATTTCTCCAGACTTAATTTTAACAACAAAAACAGAAAGACTTGCTATGATACAAATGCATAGAAGACCAACTTCAACATTTCAGATATTATGAAATTATTAATTTCATAAAATTTTCAGAAATTACGAGCAGTAATGTCCAAACTGACTACACTTGAAATATCAACAACTTGGAGTTATTATTTTTGAACTGCTGAAGTCCAGCACATTTGTATATGAAAACATGGCTTGATATATTGTGATCAACATGTTGGTTACTATGGTCAAAGTATAAAAGAATGCATTTTTTAAATTATAATAAGGTCAAAATAGAGCATAGAAATTGCCAAATGACAGACAGATGTCACCATGTAAAAGCTGAAGTCACCAAATAGTTTTCATTTATACCACCCATATACAAAGAACGTACTTTCTGTATTTTAGAAAGAAGGACTTGACTAACTAGTCAATGAAACTGAATTCAAGATGAACTTGATTTTTCATGCCAAAAACTTTGCTGTGTTTTAAATCCTTATGAATGTTCTGTTTTAGAAAGTACTCATTTATTAAATCTGTTTAGCCATTTTATCATGAAAATCAGTAAAAGACAAAAGTTAATTTGTTAGACTGTTATGACCAACTCCCAAAAATGAGTCAATTGAATGCTGCTCTTAGTTAAATTTTTCTCACAGCTTTTTGGGCGAAATTTCGAAGAATCATGACGATATTATTTGCAGATCAAAGCAAAAACCAAAATGTAAATGCAAACAGTGGGAAATATCACAATGTTGGTAAAATATTGATTGTGAAACATTGATTTGCAACTGTTCATGAAAATGATGTGGTACAAAGCTACAGAATTCACTGTAAAACATAAGGGCTATTCATTACAATTAGGGGTTTAATATAAGCCAAGTATTTTCTGGAATCATTATGAATAGTTTAAAATGGAACTTTTACGCAACAAATGAAAACAAACCACTACTAATAACTTTTTTCTTTAACTAAAATGCTTTGCAAAGATTTATATAGTTCTGGTTACATTTACATTAAGCAGCATCTACAGTAATCTTTCAAAAAAAAAAAAAAAAAAAAAAAAAAAAAAAACGAAATGATTGTAATACATCTACAAAATCATGTTCTAAATTAGTATTAAATTATTCTTTTCAAACACAATGTTTCTATCGATTAAATAATTATATAATTCTTTACTTTAAATTCAAAAAACTAAAAATATACAAAATAACACATTATTAGTTCTTTATTTTATTTTTCCTCTTCAACTTAGAAAATTGGGTATGTATATTTTCCTATCTTAAAAGGTCATGGGGAATAAATCACCAATGAAATTACAAAAACACACATTATTATCTTAGAATATATTTATTAGTCTGAATGATACAAAATTACAAACTTAAAAAGGGAAAAAAGTGTACAAAAATATAAAATATATATTTAAATAGGCACAATTCTTATTTCTTGAATTAAGTGTTTTAACTCAAGTAGTAATCTTGAGTCAACAGCATAATTAACTTAGATTTTCCAGCATGACAGCTATGCCTTGACCACCTCCAATGCAGGCTGATCCTATGGCATATTTTGCTTTCCTTGCCCTGCATAAGGTTAAAAACAAAATGTAAGTAACTGTTGCATTAGTAAAAAAAGATTTGGAGGAGGTTGGAGCAGATTTCAAATGAAGTTTTTATATATGCAACCAACTAATCAATATTACTGGTTAAATTGCATACAATAACTCAAGATACACAAAACGTTTAGTTCACAGTACAAAAATAATCATTAATATTTTAAAATAAAGATGCTAATATAAGGTGATGAATATGCATGAAGTAAAAGACTATGCTTGACTCAAAAATTTTACAATATTGTATAGCTACTAAAACAGTTACACGATGAGTGAAAAGTCATGCACAGTATAAGTAACTAAATTTAATTCACTGGTTTAAAGCACAAACTACAAGACATACAATACTTGTTGCAATACAATAGCAAACCATATCTTTAAACATATGCTCAAAATCGCAGTTGTGCTCAATAATGTATGCACATGCGCTTTTTGTCATGGTTGAGGCCATATTCTGTGCAGCATATGTACACTGATGATGTTAACTGCCATTGTAAAAGATTCCCTTTTTTAGTCCTCAAATGTATGGGGATTATCTGTACAGACTTCTCCTTTCAGGTACCCATGGAAAAAAAAAAAAAAAAATCCACACACCACATGTCAAGAGAATATGAGGGTCATAATCCTTTAATCCTTTTGAAATGTTACTGTTGCCAAAAAGAAAACATAAGAATGGCATACTTTCTTGGATGTTTAAGAAGTGGCTCTGTTGCTAGAACCAATACTCATGTTCATCGATTCAAGAAATAAACTGCGTAATAATGTCTTGGTACATTGCATTGTTTATTTCAAATACTGTTAAGAATAAAAATTCATTACTTTAGGAAAAAATGACATATCTGCCAAGTAATACACACAGAACTTAACTACTAAATAGAGTTAGACGACAAGTCAAGTATGCAGATTATTAGTATTCCTATGCTGTCCTCTAATGACAGACAATACTATTATATCAACTGCAATTAAATTTATAAAAAGATATTTACTCGATATGTGTGAATTTCTATCTCTCTATAGATATACGTAGCGTATTCAGAAACTAAGTACCATTTCATTCTAGCGCCGTCGCAGCGCTGTGGTAGGTGTCTCGCGCATGCGCACTAGTCTTTCTTGTTCACTGACTTTCAATTGTCACCATTCTGGTTGCTCTATGTTGTGTTTTCAGTTTGCTGTGCACATTCAAAATGTTTAAGACAATTAGTTCTCCCGCTGACTGCGAGATTCGTGCTGTGATTAAATTTTTTAACACGAGGAATGTTAAACTGGCCGAAATTTATAGTCAAGTGACAGAAGTTTACGGTGAATATGCGATAAGTGATGGAATGGTGAGAAAGTGGGTAAGAATGTTTAATGCAGGTCGAACAAATGTCCACGCCAAGGCTCGGAGTGGTCGGCCTTCTGTTGTCTCCGATGATTTGGTAAGGAAAGTGGATGAAGCAATTCATGAGAACAGACGGTTCACAATGACAACTCTTTCAGAGGCATTTCCACAAATTTCACGTACTGTTTTGTTCGAAATTGGGTCTGACCGCTTGAATTATTGCAAACTGTGTTCCCAATGCGTTCCAAAAATGCTCACTGATGTTCACAAAACAAAGCGACTTGGTAGTGCCCTGACATTTCTCACGCGGTACAGTGATGAGGGAGAAAACTTTTTAAACCAAATTGTGACAGGTGATGAAACTTGGGTGTGTCATTTCACACCAGAATCGAAACAACAATCGATCGAGTGGAGACACACTCATTCTCCGAAAAAACAAATGTTCAAAGTGACAATGTCATTACAAAAAATCATGTGCACTGTCTTCTGGGATAGGAAAGGCGATTTGCTTACTGAATTTCTTCCCAGAGGTGAAACCATTAATGCGGCACGATATTGTGAGACTTTAAAAAAACTAAGGCGTGCCGTTCAAAACAAACGAAGAGGAATGCTCAGTAAAGGAATTGTGTTGCTCCATGACAATGCTCGGCCCCATACTGCTGGTGTCACTCAATCGTTAATTTGACAGTTTCATTGGGAGCAGCTCGATCACCCGCTGTACAGCCCGGACTTGGCGCCGTCCGATTATCATTTGTTCCTGAACAAGAAGCGTGAGCTTGGTGGCAAGCACTTTGGATCTGACGATGACACAAAAAATGCTGTGGAGTCGTGGTTATCGAAACTGGCAGGAAGTTTCTTTGACGATGGTATACAAAAACTGGTCACCCGCTATGACAAGTGTTTGATCATTGGCAGAAACTATGTTGAAAAATAGTTTAAGACATGTATTTTCATGTAAAAATAAAATTGGATTCGAAAAAATTGTTTTACTATTTTTTTTTTTCAAAACGGTACTTAGTTTCCGAATACGCCTCGTATATCTCCAACAGTCAAACTGTATATATTAACATTTTAAGCACTCAGCCAATTCTGCTGAACTTTCTGCATTGTAGCACTGCTACATACTACAACATAATAGTCCAACCAAGACTAATATCATTATATGAATATTTTGAAAATGATCTATTTATTAAAAAAATCTACTTACTAATAACAGCTATAAACATGAGTTTAAAAAAAGTGGAATATTTGACAAAAAGAAAAATCAGAAAAGCAATAACAAATAGTTTAGGTTAGTTGATTTTAATTAAGGCAAAACATGTGAGGGATATCTGTCTAGGAAGAGACGCCCTTATGAAGGGTTTTCTAAAGGAAACTGGCTTCTATTCACATTACATTTGGGGACACCAGAAGAATGCCCATGAAGCCAGTCTCTATAGGATCTGAACCTGGGTCAAACTTACTATGTTCAGTGATCTTTCCACTCATACACTGATAGGTCATTTTCGAAGGAATAGTGTTACAATATCCGCTATGAAAGTAATAATATTTTGTTACAACTGGGACGGAAATAGTACTTATCTCTACTTTACAAGTTTCAAAAAGCTTTACTAATATAACTGTTGTATTATTGCATTACATTATGTTCATTATTATAAATAAAATAATCATTCTTGTCTTGTATTTCCGATCATTTTCAGCTATAAATTCAGTTCCACTTTTTTTTATAATCTTATAAATTTTAAATATAAAGTTATTTAAATTTAAAATTTTAATTTTAACATATTACTTCTTGCTTTTCATACCATAAACAGTTTACAAACATGACGTATTAATACAGTACAAAGTCCGAAATCCGGACTCGGCGAATCCAGATTTGGGATTTTTCTGGATATTAGATCATCAATTTAAACCTGGTAAGATGGCATGCAGAAATTATACAATTAAAAACATGAAATCATAATTTATGAAATAAAGAATAATTATGAACTAAAGCAGGGCTGTCCAACTGGCAGCCCACAGGCAGTATATGGCCCATCAAATTATTTTTACGGCCTACAAGTACATTTTACTATGAATAAATTTATGTTACTAAATTATTATTATTAATATTAAAATTATTTTATTATGTGAAAATTTAAATCTAATTTGAATTTAAAGTAGGTAACTATTTAGTTTGCGTAACTTCACTTAACCTGGCTGAATACAGCAGCAATCCATTTGTCTGATGATGGTTGGCTCAACGTTGGCGCCACATATTATATTTGTGGTGGTTGTTTATCTATGGTTGGCTCATGTGATGAGCACACTACCCTGTGCTAGTTGGCTGATTCATGCAATCGTGCGAGTGCAGTCTTGTCTAGAATTTGTTCAGGGGTGACTGTGTTATAATATTATTAATTTAATTTCATATTTATTTATTAATTAAAATAATTATTGAATATGAGTTCTACTAATAAAAGAAAAACAGACCTTGAAAATTGAGAATTTCAAGATCGCTGGGAGATAGATTATTTATTTATTCTGAACAAGAATGGTAAACCACAGTGTTTGGAATGTTTACAAATCATAGCTGTGTGTAAAGAATATAACTTGAAGTGCCATTATCTTTCCATGCATGAAAAAAGTATCATTCGTACACGCGAGACATGAAAATACCACTAGTAAAGAAATGAAAAAGCACCTGGATCATCAAACGATTTAATTTAATCAAGAACCAAAATTTCAAGAAGCATCTGTAGCTGCATCGTTTGAAGTTTGTTTAGAAATAGTAAAGGCAAAGAAACCATTTTTGGATGGAAAGTTCATTAAAAAAATGTGACATAAAAATGGCTCAAGCATTTAATGACAACGAAATGGTAAGGAAACTTCAAACAGTATCATTTTCTCACCAGACTGTAAGCCGACATGTAAACGAGACTAGCATGCATGTCACTATTAAATTAGAAAACCTAATCAATAGTTGCTGATATTTTTCGGTAGCTTTGGATGAAAGCACAGACATTTCCGATACAAGTCAAATGCTTATCTTTATAACAACTGTAAATGAAAACTATAATTATTCAGAACTTTTAAAATTACAATCATTAAACGGAACAACAAAAGGTGGAGATATTTACAAACAATTAAAATGTTCAGTAGAGCAGTATGGCAAATTTGACAAGTGCTATTGTAACCGACGGTGCTAGAGCGATGACGGGCAAAAATATTGGGTTCGCGGGACTTTTTCAAAAAAAGGATTAACATGTTGTATGTTACACTGTATTATCCATCAGGAGGTATGTGGTTTATCCCTAACACTAAAAGAAGTAATATACAAATTACTAATTAAATTCACGGCGGAAATCGTTCTCTTACACACCGAAAATTTTAAACATTTTTGGATGAATTGAAAAGTGAGTATGGAGATCTGCTTTTACATAGTAACACTCGTTGGTTAAGTGCTGGAAAGTGCTCGAGAAGATTCCTTACACTTCGAAAAGAAGTTCATCTTTTTCTCACAGAAATTGCCATCAATGAAAATTTAACAGCAAATTTAGTTGATAAAAATTTTATTTATTCACATGCTTTCCTAACAGACATTACACAATTTAAATATTTTTGTTAAAAAATTTTATCAACTTTGTACTATTAAAATTTTTTGATCATTA